TTGAAAAGTTGGGATATTTTTTTTATATATGGCAAAAGTTGGGGCATTTTTTTTATTCCCCAAAAAATATTCTATCTTTTTGAATTCATTTCAAATATTCTGGTACGATAACTTTTCTTTAACCAGCATTGCAAATATTTAGTCCAGGAAGTTTGATTGTCAAACAAAAAATGAGCGAGGTATTAGACTTCGCAGCGATAGAGCGCTACCGCTGCAAAAGCGACGGGCTAATCACCCGCACGTCAAGTGAACAAGAGGATTGTGAATCTAGTTGTAGTCTTTTCTTCTTCCCACTACCGGAGCTACCTCTGGACCAGCAGCTGGAGCTACAACAATTAAATTTTGTCAACACAGATCTTGAGGTGAGTTTACATGACTTTTATTTTTCATTCTTCTAGATAATCGCGCCAACCATCATTTTGGTATGTGCAGCCACTGCTTATGCGTGAAAAACACGTCGCGTATTTAAAACGTGGCCTTACACGGTTATCAGCGGGTTTTGTGACCTTGGATGCCAGGTAATCGCACATTTATTGTCTTCGAAAATATTCTTTCTATTTGGACCAACTTCATTCTTTTCGATCAAATATATAACAGCCGTCCATGGATTATTTACTGGATTTTACACGCATTGGAGCTACTCGATGCTCTTCCAGACGAAATGACAGAACGCGTTATCGGTGAAGATGATGAAGCTCATTTATTGATATCTGGCTAGATCGAATGACTGACGAGCAAATTGAATTTATTTATGTTAGGCACTTTAAAGCCTTGTTGGAACGACGATCACGATGGTGGTTTTGGGGGAGGTCCCAAACAATTGGGACATACAGCCACTAATTACGCGTCATGTCTGACGCTGGCGTTGCTAGGGACACTAGACGCTTTAGAGAGCGTAGACCGATTATCGCTTTACCGGTTTTTCATGTCAAGAAAACATGCGGCCACGGGGGCTTTTATGGCTCATGATGGAGGGTGCGTAGTGTTTATGATGTAACGTTAGTCACCTCTAGCTCATGGTGAATGCACTGTCGATAGTGAAGTTGACGTACGCGTGACGTACTGCGTCATCTCTATTGCCAGTTTGTATGGAATCTTGACGGATGAGCTGAAGGCTGGCGTTGTGGACTACATCTTATCTTGCCAGACGTATGAAGGAGGCTTTGGTGGCGAACCGGGCAATGAAGCGCATGGAGGTTATGCATTCTGTTCTGTTGCAACGCTTTATATTCTTGAGGCTGTCGATCAGATTCGTGATTTTTCTGGATTACTGCATTGGCTCGCAAATCGACAGATGCCGTTTGAAGGCGGCTATCAAGGGCGGACTAATAAGCTGGTAGACGGCTGCTACAGTTTCTGGCAAGGAGCGATACCGGCGTTGCTGGCTAGTGAAGTCAGAAGACGCTTTGGGGATATTGTTCCGTACCAATGCCATCGGGAGCAGTTGCAGAGGTATATACTACTTTGCGGTCAAGAGATCTCCGGGGGATTGCGAGATAAACCGGGCAAACCGCGTGACCATTACCATACGTGTTATTGTCTTAGTGGCTTGTCCGTCGCGCAATACGGAGACGGAAGAGGCTCCCCGGTCGTTTTTGGTGATGCGTCTAACTTAGTCGCCCGTACGCATCCTGCGTACAACATTAGCTATGACAAGGTGATTAAAGCGATCGAGTATTTTAAGTCAAAAGGTTCATTCCAGCCCTCAAACTTCAGGTAACTTGCTTAGAATTTAGAAATGAAAGACGACATCAATGCCGATGTACCAGCTTGGTATTACATATAATTGCGAAATTGTTGTGTGATTAATGATTACAAGAGTGGTAGCTTTTCATCATCTATATCATGATCCTTTTGACTGGTATACAAAAAAGATGGAGAAAGTGCCAACTTGGGAAGTGGAGACTGATGATTAGCTGCTAACGAATGGGGAACGTGATGGTGAAGGCGATGTGATGCATTCAATATACCTTTTCGCTTCTCGCTTTCGTTTAGCACTTCAGACACTAGAAAAGCTTTCGAATTAAGTGACTTATTTCCGACGTTCCTTTGCAGTTTACTTTTGGCTTGATTCTTTCGTTTCTGACGCCGCTGGAACGGTGTCAAACCGTTAGAGATTAGATCGTCAGCTGATTCATTCGTCTCGTCTGGATTTACCATGGGTTTGCGAACATTATCTAAAGCTTGAATACTTCCGCTACCTTTTACGGATAAAGAAGATTTACCTTCTGGTAGAACGGCAGTAGTTTGCTTTGCCTTGCTGCCTTTATGCTTGACCTTTGGAGAAAATTTCTTTTTGGCTCGAGCTCCATGTCTATTTTCCTCTAAATGCTTTGTCGAGCCAAAATAATAATCTAGTGACATACCATTTAGATTTAAGTTTGCGTCAGTCTCCAGTGTGGGTTGAGACTCAAATACTTGCTGAGACTCAGTTACAGCCATCGTTTCTTTTGCTGCTGCACGATCATCATCTTTGACACACAGATAGTCACAAAGTGACATACCTGCCACCTCTTGTACAAAATCAAAATTTGAAATCCCCGTTTCATCAACCTCGTAGTCATCTTCGTAGCTTCCTTGCTCGCTCATTGACTCGAATGATTCGGCATGGATTTGGCATTCCTCAGCCTTTTCCGCTGCCATCACATTGTTATCGTCCGTTGGAATATTAAGCAGATGCTGTGAAACGAGGCCACTAACTTTGTGGGAAGCAAAGTAATCTTCCAACGTCGAACCTGCTAGTTCATCCCCGTCTTCATATTGCTTGTTTGCAACCAATGGCTTTTGTTTTCCCTTGCCCATTGCGCTGCTTCTACGTAGACACCATTGTTAAAAAATAGAAACGATTCACGAGACGTTACATTTATTGTCTCAAACAATGGTGTAGTGAAACCTTATAGTCCTCTTTGTAGTGTACCCATCAAAGTTGTCCATGATATGATGGCTCTACGTCATCAGAACGAAATTTATTGAAATGTGCCACGAGCATGAGCGTATCATCATATCTAACAAATTTGAGGCCAATACTGGCGTAGGCAAACTTCGTATCAGCTAGCACAGATTGCTTCACCATTGCTTACTGGGTCACCACCGAAAGTCGTGTTGATACCGTGTGTACATTTATGTGCACGCACAAGACCAAAATCTTGAAGCCGAAACAAGTTTACATCGACGGGTTTCTAATGCTCAAGTTCACGCAAGCAATCCACCTCTTTTGGTTTTGAGCACATAAAGTTCAAGTATTGTGACATTATGATTCTCGGCTTTTCAAGTTAGTGTCGTTGGCGCTAGGTCTTTTGGACATCAGATCCAGTGGAGAACACCATGCGTCAAGTGTATCCATTCGACGCTGCTTATGGTGTGCTATTTGACCAGTGGAAAAATGAAAACATAATCGAAACTATCACACCTAATCTTGCTTAACGATTGATTGTCTGCTGCACAGGATGTGTTGTGCAGGGTCTTACATATTAGGATTGTATTAAGGATTTTCTTTATTATCTACGCGTTTGTATTGTCGATTAGAATTGAGTTCTTGGTAGGAAAGATAAAATCGAGCAAGTGAAAGAATGAGGTTTTTTAGAATTTGGCGGCTCGGAAACCTGAATGGTCATAAATTTGGTTTGGCTCCACACGAGGAGGCTGCGAGCAAGAATGGACACTAATGTGGATGATCAATTTAGAAGGGACATTTTAAAGCGTTTCGGCGATAGATGCCACGAGAATTTGCACTGTCTTTTTAGGCGTACCGGGCGTTAAAACTGTCAAGATTTCCAAGAGTTAGCAAACCATACCTAAGAGCTGAAAAGTCCATTCGTCGGAATGATGGCGAAGAAATAATATTGTTTATTGTCTAAACGGAGAGTCCCATTATCGTGCGGCTTATACAGGGTCGTTCGCATCAACCCCGTCTGCAGCGGGGCTACCGTAGCAAAGCGC